GGAGGCCTCCGCATAGATCCCCACCTAGGGGATGGATAAGCTGGCCAGTCGGGCCGATGCCACGCCATTGAGGATGCGGATCTGCCCAAGAGTAAGGCGCGCAGGGAATGGGGCCACCCCTTGACAAACTTCATACATGTAGACTTGCGATCCAAGAAGTCCGCGCGGACCTCCCAACGTTTCTGTTCATGCCGCGCGTTCTTCTGCTAGCTGAAACCCTTCGTGAGGAGACCGCCCCTTTTTTGGATCAAACGCTGCCCGTCATGAGGCATTCGCAGAACAAGTCAGTCCTGTCTCCTGTGGAACTGTGCTGCGCCTGCAGCCGTAACGGTCTGTCGGGTCAACGAGTGCCTGACAAATTCGAACGAACCGTCTGTCTGGTGAACCAAAAGCCTCCGAGATCGAGCATGGTCCACGACATCACGGATCCCGTGAACATCGTTGCGGCTGGAAACAGGGGGGATGGGAGAGGAGGGGAAGGGGAGACGAGGAGGGGGGGAGGGGAGGGGGAGGAGGTATCGGCATCGGTATCGGTTCGAAGTTGTTCGCTGCCCATTTCGAGAGGCCGATGAAGCACATCGCGAGGAAGGGCAGGGACAGTAGGGGGGGAGGATCGGGGGAGGTCAGGAGGCTCCCCCAGTGCGACCTCGGCCTTCTCCAGGGAGGCCTTGATCTCCTCCTCCTCGTCAGGAAAGTGCTGCGCTCCCCTGCTCGCGAGGGCGGTGGGTCGCGGCTCGACTCGGTCGAATCGGGTATCCCTCTGCTGGCGTCGCTGGTCGAAGGTGGCACAGTCTTGGGTGAGTTTGTCATTCATGTCCAGGCACGGGCCGAGAGCTTGATGGAAGGCACAGAGCTCGTCAGGCGAGGGAGATGTCGGTCCCAACGCTTGTGGCCGACCACGCACGCTCCAGTTGCAGATGAGTAGGTCTAGACATCGTCTCGCGCATCCCCGTGGGGTAGCCGTTCTTGTGGGCAGTGCGCCAAGAGCCATCCGCATATCTTCCCTCGAGTCTCCCATCGGCTCTTTTGGGGTGATGACACCTTCCATTTCGACCAGGTTCTGTGATGCTGTCCCTGAGTTCGAGTAGGCGAACAGCCAGAAGAGTAGTCGGAGCTTTGCTGACTTGTCCCAAGATGCTTTGGCCGAATCATATCATTTGTGCAGCTGGCGATGCCGAGACGGCCTTTGTAGCATCCGTCTCCCCAAATCTTGGGGTTTTGGGTTCCCACCAGGCCTGATCCAGTGGCTCCACAACCCCGCAGACCCCAGCTTGTAAGTAGACCGTCAAGGTTTGGTGAGCACTTGGCAACAATTGGTTGGCAATCTCTAGCTGGAGATGCCGTAGGAAATGGCGTCTGGTCTCCTCCATGGGTCTTTGGTACGTTCGCAGCGGTGGCAGTCCCTATCCTATGGAGTCGGAAAATCGGTTCCATCTTACAGCAGACCAGGATTTGCATTGGGCTCCACTTGAAATGTCGAGGGTACTACCCGACTTGAATAACGTCACACAACTTCTCAACGAAAAGGGGTCTTGATAGGATCCTCGAGCTCGCTGTCCAGGGAGATGTCCAAGGGTATGATCACAACCGTCAATAATTAGATCTCTTTCCATGTATTCCTGACGATCCCCATGTCTCTCTCCTCCTTCCCGAGAACAAGTGCACACACGCCGGTACCGTGTACTGGACCTTCCTGGGTAAGACATCTCCTACCTCTCCCTCGGTTATTCCTCTGGTTTGAACGGCCACTCCTCATCCTGTGGGTCGGTTGCGTCGTTAGGAGGAGGAGTAGGAGTAGGAGGAGGAGGAGGAGGAGAAGGAGGAGGAGGAGGAGGAGGAGGAGGAGCATGATGATGCTGATGATGATGATGCTGCTGATGATGATGCTGATGATGATGATGATAGTGATGCTGCTGATGATGATGATGATGATGATGATGATGATGATGATGATACTGCTGCTGCTGATGATGCTGATAACGATGATGTTGATGATTATGATGATGATGAATATGATGATGGTGCTGATGGTGATGATGATGCTGATGATGATGCTGATGATGATGCTGATGATGCTGATGATGATGCTGTTGATGATGATGATGCTGATGATGATGATGGTGGTGATGATGATGATGCTGACGATGATGATGATGATGATGATGATGATGATGATGATGATGATGATGATGATGATGATGATGATGATGATGATGATGATGACGAGGAGGAGAGGAGGATGATGATGATGCTGATGCTGATGATGATGATGATGATGATGAGGATGATGATGAGAGGAGAGGAGGAGGAGGAGGGAGGAGGAGGAGGAGGAGGAGGAGCAGGAGCAGCAGGGAGAGAGACCGCGCGAGGCCCGCAGCGTCAGGAGCAGCAGGAGCAGGATCAGGAGGATGAGGAGGAGGAGCAGGAGCAGCAGGAGCAGGAGGAGGAGGGTGTTGGCGGTCTGGGCGAAGCTGCGGTCGACCGACCTCCCACAGAAGGCCACTGCGGGCGCCCGGCCCGCGGCCGCAGGGCCGCAAGGAGGGGCGGCCGCGCCGCGACTCCGCGAGTACAGACACAGTGCATCCTGGACTGCCCGTCAAATCTGGGATGTGTGCGGGGATCGGGGGCGGCCAAGAGGGGGGGGATCGGGGGCGGCCAAGAGGGGCGGCCAAGAGGGGGGGTGGGCATCATGGCGGGGGGCCATGATCTCCCCAGATTCTTCGTGGCGATGCTTCTTATTCCATGACGTCCCGGGCCCCCCCTCCCCGTGGGCCGCGCACGTGCCGCTGGCCACGATGTGCGCTCCCCCCCCTCTTGGACACCCCCCTCCTGGCCGCCCCCGAGCCCCGTTGGGCATGCTGGGATCCGTGCCCACCTGTTTGTGTCGGGGGTGGACAGAACCCCCAACAGTGACACGTCGATTTTAGTGAATTGTCCGTTCTCGGTTCTCGAGAGGGCGCCGTGGCCGTCATTTTCCAGGCTCGCGCCCGCCAGGTTTGGGCCTCGGGTCGTTTTCGCTAAACCACGTTGTGCTACAGGGGGGTCTGTCCATCCCCGATTGTGCGTCCCTGGGCCCCGTGGGTGACGTCTGCCTGCGACGCCCCCCGGGAGGGGGAGGGGGGGGGGCAGGTCGGGCACCAGGGGGGAGGCGGCAGGGCGGACCGCGGGCGGGCCGGGAACACAGTGGGCTCCGAGGGGGAAGATCTGGACGCCCGAAATGGGTACGGAAAGAATGGGTACGATGCCTAACAGCAGTTTCTGTTCATTTTGAACAGGACTCGCTGTCCGCGCCGCCGCGGCCTGTGTCCATTCGAGACAGGAGGCCGCCTGCCCAACAGCGGCCCCTGTTGGTTTGGGACAACATTTGTTGTTGGGCATTGTGCCCATTTTTTCCGTACCCATTTCGGGCGTCCAAAACATCAGGAGGGAACAAGAGCACACAGACACAATGAATCGTCGATTCCCCCGAACATATGGGAAGATGTGGGAAGTGGGGGGGGGAAGGCACAAGCCCAGAACATACAGGACAATCTTGGGAATCCTGTTAATTGTGTATGTATCTATTTGTGTGTCTCAGGGCCCCTTCAGAATCAAGGATCGGGACGACATGGGTACGGAAAGAATGGGTACGATGTCCAACAGCAGTCCTTCGTAGTTTTGAAACCGACTCGCTGTTCGCGCCGCCGCGGACGCAGTTCTTTGGAGACAGAAAGCCGCCTGCCCAACGCCCGCCGCTGTCAGTTTTGGACAGCACTAGTTGTTGGGCATTGTACCCAGTTTTGCCCCGCGGCCGCTGCCTGGGGCTACCCCGCAGCCTGGCCGCCCCCCATGCGCCCCCCGCGGCCCCGCCGCGTGAGAGCGCCCTCCCTCCTTTCCTGCCTCTGCGGTCGCCCTCCGATTCCTCTTCCACTTTTTGGGATGCAGCTCCTGGGAGGTCAAATTCTGATTTTGCACTGGTCCGAAGTCCGGCTTAATCCGGATTTATCCCGCTTAATCCCGCTCAATCTGGCTGAATCCCACCTAATCCCGTTTAATCCGGCTTAGTCCGAAGCCCGCTCCGGCGTGATAGCCCAAATGGGGCTTAATCTTCTTTGAGTTTTCCGACGAAAGCCTTCCAGTAGTTGCTTCCTAACACTCTTCCTGCCTTCGGAACATTTCGCAACGCCGCAGCCCGTTTTGCTCGGGCGCGCGAGCGAATCGCCTCTGCCGCGCCGCGACGGAAACTCAAAGTGTCCTGTGTCTCGCGACCCATGCCTCCTATATTCCTGTGGCAGCGTGGCCCTCGAATTGGACCTTGTGTCCTCGCTCGTGCCCCCTCCACTCGAGTCCGACCGAACCGTCGGCCACGCACACAGGGGGGGGTAGGGGGCGGGGGCGCTTCCTGGAAGCACCCCTGCTTCTTGGAAGGCACGGGTCTTGCCTGCAGATCTAGGGCCAGTGCCTTCTAAGAAGCAGCCTCCTGCTGAGTAAGAAGCCTTCCCCCCCCCCCCTCAGCCCCCCTGCGCGCGCCGCCAACAAAGGGTACCCATGCCGCTACCCCTCCCTCGTTTCCCCCTTTTTGGGGGGCCTTCTGGGAGACCCTCGTCGCCACCGTTGGATTCGCCGCGAAATTCTCGTCAGAACGTACCCCGGCCGAGGTCCGGGGAGCAGCGGTATCGGTACCTCTCGGCTTCCCCACGAGCGTCGTGGCGGCAGGGCGGAGGGTGCGCGTTTGCACGGCAGGTGCACGACAAAAGAAGAAGCCGGCCTGCCAGGGGGTCCCCCGCGGAAGGGTCTTATCCCGAGATGGCCCCCAGGGTCCACGGAAGCCCTGGGACAGCTCAGGAAGTCCAGGGATCGATGAGGAATGCCTCAATATTGGTTCTACAGTGGGGGCCAATACCAAGAAACACCTTGCTTGTCTCCAGGGTTCCCTGGGTGTCTTGGGTTTCGATGGTTTTGCTATGGAAAGCGCGATGCTCTCACACCAAAAATCGATGGACGTCCTGTGGTCTCAGGGTTGGGTTTCTTGCGGAGGGCTTCTTGTGGACTGGCCCCTATTGTAGATTTCGGATCGTCTGCCCGTATCCATCTTGGCTCGCAGTAGTTTGAGTTCTTTGTGTTTTTTCGCCATTCGGGCAGAATTTTTTTTCTGCAACGGGAGGAGTAAGGTCGACGCATACATCGAAGCGCCGGTGGATGCACAGCGCCGCCGCAGTCGCAGTCGCCGCACATCCGCCGTCCATGAACGCGCGTGCAGGTGCGGCGGGGGCGGGCCCCAGCGGGCCTCCGCCGGGAGGACCGGTGTGGCGGTCGTGCCCAGCGCCTCCTGGAGGAGCGCAGCGGAAGAGCGTCTCCTTCGACACGGCTCCGGAGTGCTTCGGCCCCGTCGTCTCGGCAGAGGATCGCGGGCCCCCACAGTGTACACCTACCACCACCTCCCTTCCCCCTCCCTCCTCCGCCCTCATATCCCTCTCCTCGCTCCTGGGAGGGGGAGGTGACGGGGGAGGTGGTGGTGGTGGTCTACACCTTTGGGTCCCGCAGAGGACCTCGCTCAGGCGCCGCGGGGCGGCCAGGGTGCCGACAGCGACGAGAGGCCGGGCGCTCCCGCCGCGGGCACAGTGCGGCCGGGACCTCCGGCGGTCTGGCAGGACGACGCGCCAGGCAGGGCAGCATCGGCGGAGCTTGGCGACGCCAGGATGTCCCCAGGTATCGCAGGCCTAGAGATTGACACCAACACCAAGATCGGCGGTGTGCTTCCACCGAGGGCAGAAGATCCCGATCTCGGTGGCGGTGGTAATATTCTGGCTTCCAAGGTGACCGAAATATTACCACCAACACCGAAAGCTAGGATCATCGTTCCCCTGTGGAGGCAACCGCCTGTCTTGGTGTTGGTGCCCATTTCCAGGCCTCCAAAGGTACGCAGCAGGAGCAGGAGGAGGACGCTGCATTGGCCGAGATCGAGGCGTTCGCTGACGAGCAGGCCCGGCGTTTCATACCTCTGATGGAGAAGCGGCGCGCGCGTCGGACGGCGACCATCAGCATCGGCCGCGCGAAGCGGGCGGACGGCATCCAGTTCCAAATGCAGTCCTCCACCCTGTGGCAGCGCAGAGTGGTGACTGTGTGTGGCCTGGGGGCCCTCGGCGGGTGAGTTTTCCCGTAGGGATGGATGGGGAAGCGCCTTCCGAGGGTGCCAACTGCCTTACTTCGCCGCTGTGTCCTCGACCAGTGGCAGAGGACAGAGCAGCACGAGCGGGCTTGTATCCACACCCTATGTATATATATATATATATATATATATATATTGAGAGTTCATTATCGTTGTAAGCACTTGCAACTGACCTTGGGCTGGGGCCGCGGTTCCGCGTGCCCCAGATGTGATTCAGGCTCCTTCGCGTCTTGCCGCTCCCGCTCCCTGCTCTCCCACCGTGCTCCTCCTGGCGGGGCCTTCCCTGCGCCAACGCCCGGCCTGCTAGACCGCATCGCAGACGGTCGCTTGGGCCGTTTGGCTTGCTCCAGACGACGAGGATGTCGAAATCGTCCAGGGTCATGCGTTTCTTTGTGCTTCGCCTCTTACCCGGAGCGCAGGTCTCGACTCAGTCACCAGCGGCGCCGGCATGCTGCCGGGCCCTCTGTCTTGTGACAAGCGCGGGACCTCGCGCGGCAGGTGCGGCGGCGAAAGCATGGCCGCCCGCGCATCAGAACCAGCGAGCCATGGGCAGAGCAGAGCACCTGGCCTGGTCCGGCCCCGCACGCCTCTCTTGGCCCGGAGGGCTTGGCGCGAGCGCCAGCAGCAGGCCCTGTTTGCCACCATGTCCAGAGTCTGAGTCACGGTGTTTACTTGATGGTGCCCTGTGACAATGGCATTCAGTCGGGCCTGTATCTCTACAGGAGGAATATTCAAAAATAGTAAATAAATAGTATGGGGACGATTGTTTGGCTATTTTTGCCCATTTGGGGGGATATTTTTTGAGTTTTTTTTTATTCTTCGCCCAAATCCCCCTGTAGGGGGGACAGGCCCGACCTAGCAATGGCAGGGCCTGCTCGTGCGCCAGGCGTGGGGAACCGAGGAGGCCGCCCGCGAACCTCCCCGCGTGGCCTCCGACGCTGTGCCGAGGTGCGCTGGCGCAGCCTGGAGAGGCCTGCGGCAAGCCGCGGCGCGTGCTCGCTTGCTCGCTGGAGGAACCTAGACTTGAATCGGGCCTGTGGCCTGTCCCCCTACAGGCCAGACTTCAACCTAGACGGGTCTGTAGCGTAGTTACGCTCACCCGCTCTGCTCCAAGATGTCGGCTCCATTTCGTCAGCGAGTGGAGTTCGTGATGCAGCAGTCTTTCGAAGTCTCGTGGTAGGGAGTCTTGCGGCTGGAGCTCCCTGGAGGAAGTGGAGGGAAAGGAGGCGGGGAAGGCGAGTCGGATGGAGTTGGGAGGAGTCTCCTAGGGAGATTGCGACAGCTTGCAGTTTCGTAGTGTCATTTCTACTGGGGTTCGGCAGCAGGGAAATAGAGGGGTCGATTTCAGCCCCCCCTGCAGCATCACCCTCGTTGTGAAGATTTGCACGGAGTCGAGTGAACACGTCTTTTACGCTGCCGCATGCCTGTTCGGGGCTCGGCCGCAGTTCTGGTTTCTAATCATGGGAATCGCAGTGCGGCGTTCTCCGTGGGCATCGCTCTCGTCTTTGAAGTCCGCCCCGACATGCACGCCCGCGTGCATTCGTATGCTCTCCAAGCTGGCCCGTCTTTGCGCGGTGTCAGCGCATGGATCCCATTCGGTTGTCCTGCCCTCGGCCCACTCGCCCATCTCCGGCTCCTGCGGGCGAGCTCCAGAGTCGGGAGTTTCGCGCCTTGTCCGCAGCTCGCGGCGGGGGCCCCGACGCGGGCACCGGTGCGCCGGCACGCTGCTATGCGAACGCCGCCACCCGGCCCGTGGCATGCGCGGCCTCGCGCCGCAGGTGCGAGAGCATGTCGGGCGTCTGCGCAGGCAGGGAGGGTTTGGGAGGAGGCGGAGGGGGAGGTTCGGCGGCGAGCGACGGGGGGAAGCGAGAGGGAGGAGGCCTTCTCAGAAGGCGGCGGGACTTCTCGGGGGCCCTCGCGCCTGCTGAGAGGTTTCCGGTGTCTTCGGGGAGGGCGTGGGACACTTCTGAGAAGGCTGGGGGACTTGCGAGCCTTCTGAGAAGGCCCGCCCCTTCTCACTTCCCCGCCTCGCTCGCCGCCGAGGGGTAGGCGAGGAGGACAAAGGAGGAGGAGGAGGAGGAGGAGGAGGAGGAGGAGGATAAAGGAGGGGGGAGGATAAAGGAGGAGGATAAAGGAGGAGGATAAAGGAGGAGGAGGAGGGGGAGGAGGATAAAGGAGGAGGATAAAGGGGGAGGAGGAGGAGGATAAAGGAGGAGGAGGAGGGGGGAGGAGAAAGGAGGAGGAGGGGGCGTGGAGCTCCTCAGGCAGGGAGCAGCCGCGGCCGGGTCCTGGCCACGTGCCGGTCCTGGGCAGGCACTCCGCGTCGCCGCCTGCAGGGGAGCGTCCGAGCTGCGTGGCAGGAGGTGCCCGAGCCCCCGCCGCCCCCCATCCCCCAAGGGCAAAGCGCTCGCTTGGGTGGACAAAGCCCCCAACAGTGGCACGTCGAGTAGTGGATTGTCCGTGTTCGGTTCTCGGGAGGGCGCCGTGGCCGTCATTTTCCGGGCTTGCGCCCGCCAGGTTGGGGCCTCGGGTCGTTGTCATCGAGCCACACGTTTTATTAGAGGGGGGTCTGTCCATCCCCGAAGCGCTGCATAAAGCGCATTTGAAGAGATTGTGCCAATTGTCGAGGCTCTGCAGTGGGGCAATACCCGACACGTGGCCCTGGTGCGGCCGCCGCCGCGGCCGCCGTCGCAGGTCCGCTTCCCCAGAGCAACGGTCTTGCTTTGGTCGGGTCGGACATACCTCCTCCTCCTTCTCCTCCTCCTCCTCCTCCTCCTCCTCCTCCTCCTCCCCCTCCTCCTCGTCCTCCTCCTCCTCCTCCTCCTCCTCCTCCTCGGGGCGGGTGGGCGAAAGAGGGGGGTTGGGAAAGGGGGGGGTTACGAAATCTGCTGCATGCAGCTGGTTTCGGCCCTTCCGCCGGGCCCATTCCTCGATACACATGGGCGCCTCCCGGCGCCAGGAGGTGCCGGTAAGATCAGCTACGTGAGCTGATTCTCAAACCCCCCTTTTTGCTATCCCCCCCTTTCGCCCGGCCCGATTTGGAAGCTTTGAGTGTTTTCCTCGCGCGTCACTCGTGCTCTCCTCCTTCCCTCGGGCGCGCGGCGGACGGCGGGGGCCATGAGGACCCATGCAGGCCGCGCTCGCGGGGGGGAGGGAGAAGAACAACGTTCCCTTCTCCTTTCGCTGCCACTCTTGAACTCTCCTGTCTCTCCATCCCCTTTTTGCAGGTTTCAACCCGCAAGCTGCAGTCGGCATGTCGCCGTTGCGCAAACCATGCGCGTTCTTCTCCTGCACCTCACTGCTGCCTCTTTCGAATAACCTGGACGGTGCGACTCGTTGTTTCGCGCCGTTGTGCCATGGCTGTGTCGAGGAGTTGGCGGATTGCCTCCTCACCTGAGCTACACTTGAATCATACTCCAAGTACAAATGAAACAACACTTGCACTACACGGGTTGCACAGTAGTTAGTCGCCTTTGAAATACATATACACCGCACGTGGGCCGTACGTGAATTGCACGCGTGATGTACATGCGATCGCTTTTGAATTACACTTGAACTACACGTGAACTAGATCGGATTTACAAAGACTACATCCGCACAACATTTGAGCGACGCTTGAACTACACCCGGATCTCATTTGAACGACACTCGAACCATATTTGGACAACACATGAGCTACACATGAGCTGCACTTGAACTACCAGGACTACCCTTGATGCCCACTTGAACTACACCTGAACTACACTTGAACTACACTTGAACTACATGTGTCGAAAGCTGGGCGAGGGCTGCTAAAACCGTGGCTGCTAAAACGGCCCTCCCGGAAGGAAAATCAACTTCCCAGAATGAGGCGCGGCACGCGAAACAGTCAACGGGTTTCTTCCCGGAAGGACGGAGACAACTTCCCGGAGGTCGATTTTAGCAGCCACGGATTCAGCAGCCCTCGCCTGGCTTCCGAATGCGACTTACACCTTAACACCTTAACCACACTTGAACGACACGTGAACTATACTTTAAATATGTTTGACCCAAGTTTCGCCTACATTCGAGCTACAGTTGCACTAGACTTGAGCAACATTTGAAGTACAACGACTGCAAATAATCACCCTCGAATTACACCCGAAGTGCACTTGATGCGCTTGACATACTGTTGGACCTCATTTACCTTACACCTGAATCACATGTGACTCACACGTGAGCCACACTTGTACTACCCACGAATTACACTTGACCTACACGTGAATTTCACTTGCAGCACACATGAGCAACATTTGGACTACATTGATTGCACAGATGAGGAGGAAGAGGAGGAGGAGGAGGAGGAGGAGGAGGAGGAGGAGGAGGAGCAGGTGGATGATGATGATGATGAGGAGAGGAGGAGGAGAGGAAGCGGCGCAAGAGGACGAGGAGGAAAAGGAGGACGAGGAACCGGAGGGGCAGGGGGGGCGGAGGAGGAGGAGGAACATGAGGAGGAGGAGGAGGAGGAGGAGGAGGAGGAGGAGGAGGAGGAGGAGGAGGAGGAGGGAGAGGAGAGGAGAGGAGGAGGGGGAGAGGAGAGGAGGAGGAGGAGGGGGAGAGGAGGAGGAGGAGGAGGAGGAGGAGGAGGAGGAGGAGGGAGGAGGAGGAGGAGGGAGGAGGAGGAGGAGGAGGAGGAGCGGGAGGAGGAGGGAGGAGGAGGAGGAGGAGGAGGAGGAGGAGGAGGAGGAGGAGGAGGAGGATCAGCGCGGCATAGGGAGCGGACGTCCGTCCACCCGCTCCCAGACGCCCGCGCGCCCCGCGCGCGGCCGTGGCGACGAGGCCCAGGACCCGACGCCCGCACGACCTCCTTGGATCCACGCAGGGATCCAAAGGGGGCGCGCCCACCCCGCTCAGGCCCGCGGGCCAGGCGGCACGGCGCCCGAGGAAGACCGAGGGGCAGGCCGCCTAGGGCCGCCCACACCAGATTTCGAGGGGGACCCAGCGGCGCGGGCGGATCGATCAGGCCCGACCTGGGCCCTCTCCACCTGCGCTCTCCCACGCTCCGCGCGCGCGCCGTCGCCCGCGGTCTCGGCCTGCTCACGGCCAGGCCCCTCCAGCGCCAGGCGCGCCGCCGCGCGCTGCCGC